GAGCCATAAAGCTTCTGCACGGTTACTACCAACGCAAAATGAGAATCGAACCCTACAATAACATTATCCTACTAATAGTTTTAAATACATCCATCTTCCACCTATATACCTTCCCTTATGAACACATTATATAGATCATCAATATATGGACTCACAAAAGAGTAAACAAAAAAGACTTACTATACATAAAGAGTTGAATTAGCGATGTTTTCTACTGTTCCACGAGCTATATCTCCAAAACAGTTCGTGAAATAAATAAGACAAAGGAACCGAATACCAAATTAAACTTACGAAAGCATTTGCTATTTTGCTGCAAATCTTTTATGTTTAGGAGCTTTTTTTTATTACTTTACTCGGCTGGCAAGTTGAGATCAAACACACTATCTGTGTTGCTTCCTTTTCTAGGTCGCTTGCGAGATGAATTAGGGCTATCGGCCCAAGTCACAGATGCCGATGATTGCCCAAGTTCTATCAGGCCTGCAACAAAATGCATGATAATCGTGTCATGGGAAAATGCAAGCAGTCATTAAAAAAAATTCATCAACTACTTTTTTTCTTCACTCCCTTCCCTTTACATTTTTTCTATTTCTTTTTTTTTTATTATTTTATTTGGAAAAAAATAACTACAAAAAGAACATGTAATTTCATTTAGCTGGCCACAGTATTGTTGAATAAATTGCATTAAATAGATTTCGGTCAGTAACTTACATATATACTAAGCATTAGAAGGGCTTCATAAAGCGCATGTTAGATAATCCCTGGCAAAGATAAAGTTTCCTCTTTCAAATGCAAAAATTACCTCACAGTACAAATGATGTAAGTATCTTAAACTGCACGTCTGGGGAAAATCTGATCTGGTAAAATAAAATATATGAAAGGCAATAATTTTTCATTTAATTGCAACTTGACTCCTAAGCTGTTCGAAGCAAGATATCTATTGTCGGAAGATATTTAGAATATGCTGGACCTATAACAAAAATTCGTAAAAACAATATATGGCGAGTGGGGATTCTTTAGCATTCACCAAGACAATAAAATAAGACTAAACTATATTTGATAAAGGTGATTTATCGAAAAAAAAGTAGAACAGAAAAACTGATAATATATCTTTTATTCCACCAGCTACCGAACAAAAAAAAAAATAAAAAAAATTATATAACCTAGAGACAAAGTTCACCATCATCCATAGTCCTCAATATTTAACAATGATCGACCCAACCAAGTTACTATTTCTACTCTAATTCAGCAAAACTCTTGTCTATTATTTATATTAATACCGATAATTATTTCTTCTTTGAAATAAAATATCATGGCCAAGAATCTAAATAACTGCAGCTTTTTATACAACTTTACCGGCGGACCGATCAGCAGCCATTTGACATTCATTCTTCATGTATGATTCAACATTCAGTTCCTCTGCCTTCTCAATCCCTTTTGAATTGTAAGGAGCTATATTGTGAATTGTAAATTGGAGTGATCCCAATAAGTCGTCCTCGATACAGTCATACCTGGAAAACGATCAAAGAGTATATAAATTTTATTCAAGAGACAAATCATAGGCCACCTCTAACAATCAGGGATTCAAAAAAAAAACTTACATCTTTTTGCAGAGGTCATCAATGATCACAGAGAGATTAATAACCTGCATCCTTATTTGCATGACTTGTTCATCGGGATACTCTTCAAATGGCTCCTCGAAAAATTTGGACAGCTTCTCAACGTTCGACTCGAGCTGCTGCTGCTGGTCCTCGAACAAGTTCTGCTTTATCTCGCACTCCTCTTTTGTCATCTCGCCTCTAAACAGGTCACCTCCGAACATGTAGAAAGCGAAAGGGTACGAATACGAAAGGGCCCGTCTAGATCTGAAGAGCCTGTAGAGCCCGTTTGTGACCCAGCTGAAATCCCTCAAGTTTGAGTCCCGAGCCTCCAGATGAGACACCTTTTCCTTTATAGTTTCCCTTAGCTTAGATTCTTGCTTGGAGGAGTCCATATGAGCTTTGTAACGGTTGTGATAGTGCATGTAACGATAAAGATCACGTTTTGCGCGCTCGGCTTTCTTCTCGCTGTCTTCCTTATAGCGACCACAACTGTGATTATCGATTTGGGACCACGTATGCCCTCGACCGGTGGCCCCACCGCAAAGCCAACTAAGGCAGGAAATAAGATTTAGTAAGAAAATGCACAATATTTTCCAATGTGAACATAATTAATTAATACTACGCCTGGTTTTTCGGAATTGATGCTCTGGGATTATCTTGTTGACGATTAATTGATATCTCGTCTAAAAAATTTGCTACCCATCCCATCTCCAAATCAATCCTTGAAACAATTTCTTGATTTTCATTTTAGCGTCTCTATCTTTATATGGGGTACACGTAAGGGGAAAGAAGAGAACATTTTTTTTTTTTCGAGGTGGGAGAGAGAGAGAGACGGAAAAGTAGAAATCAGGGGGAGATTTGCCAAAAAACTACTTTTGTCGGTATTTACCAAATATCCACTTTTTTCTTACAACAAAAAAACAACTAAAAACGCATGTTATAACACGAAAGGTATTTATGCAAAGAGAAAGAGAAAATTAGCATTTTATTACAAATTTCTCAAATTTAGGCGGTTAGAGAACACCACCTGGGAAGTATTTCTCCATTTCACACACTCTCAGATGCATATTTTAAATCCTAACATATCAACTCAAAAAATACCAAAAGTAGAACATTAAAGCGACAACAAAACCACGTCACTCACCAAAATGCTTGCCCGCATATGCAACTGACCAGGTTGCAACCGCCGTTCTTCTCGACCGGCTTGTGACACTTGGGACAAGGCTTGGTGTGCACCGTCATCCAATTCACTGTTTCGGACTCGTCACGACATTTTTTCGCCCACAGCTGCCACATTGAGCACGAGCAAGGGGAATGGGCTTCTGACAGGCAACTGAAACAGAACTGCAGGCCACACGAGCACTCCACCTCACACATCTCTTCATTCTCCACGCGTATTGCATTCCCACAGTGTGGCACACTTGGGCACCACTTGACCATGCGGTTGTCCTCGATGTACGACTCGAGAAGAAACCTTTCGAACTTCTCTGCTAAATCGGGGTGCTCCACACTGACTAGCTTTCGGACGATAGCTTCATCACATATGGCGTTGCATTTGTGGGCCATGCACTTGATCCTCTTGCTTTGGCCCTCATTTATCTTGACTATGAAATGTCCTGTCCAGCCTGTAAAATTCCGCAAAAATATTGAACCGGATGTTAAACCAAATTGTAGCAACTTAAGAAGTTCAATACAAAAATGCCAGAATTAGAAACACACAATTTCATTCTCTCTGACACGTTTTAGGAAAAAAGAAAACCGCTCATTAAATTTGGCACTTTAGGAAAAAGCCAAGATGAATTAATTTCTTAAATGGTGGGTGCGTTAACGTAATCGATTCATGTGTCCTTTTCTCAATAGCAATAGCAATAGCAATTGATTCAAAAGCCGAATGATTATAATATATATATATATACATATACATATATATATATATATATAT